ATTATTCATGTATAATATATATGCGATTTATATGGATTTATTTTCAAAAATTGTAAGAGGATATATGTATCTGAAGTTATCTATACCTCAAAAACGGAAACAAAAGTACCCAGCTAAAATTCAAAGTTACTTGAAGTGACTTTCATTTAATTTTCTATATACGTACATATGTGCATAATAATTATAATTATATATGTATGTACTTTGTCAAAAGATACTTTGATTTTCTAAGCTCTTTGGTTGACACGAATTTGTATTATCGTTCAAACAGATGTACTTTCAAGCAAATTCAATAAATTTAATTTTTTCCACTATTCTTGTATAACGCACTTTTAACAAGCCGGTTGAAGTTACATTTGTTGGACTTTATCGGTATAATGTTTGTTTGATAGACTTTGGCGAAGGTTGATGAGGGAGGTAGATCTCGATCTGGTTCGAAAGATCAAAAGTTGAGACCGCAATTAATGAAAGCCGGTAGGAACCCGCGACCCAATAGAAAAAATAAAAAAGAAACGAAGAAACGAAAAGGTGTTAGTCCACGAACTAACATTTGAGCCAAATATTACCTTGTATAATAGTATTTTCTGTCTTTAACTAAGAATTTAGAAATCTTTATTGAGCGGAAACGGCTTAACATCAAAAACTGTCAAATATTAACTAATACGGAATTTTATTCCGTTTATACTTATATCATTTTACGAATGTGCATAAAGGCACACCGGTAAATATACATTATCTGCAGTTCTAACAACCACACAGTGGCTCTAAAAAATTTAAGGCCTTTGGCTTAAACAGTAGTAAAAACACAAATTTTAATTTTCTAACGCAAAAGATTTATTTGTTTCAAATTGATAACAGGTACAATCAGCTCAAAGTGAAAAACAAAATAAAAGAGCATGTCAAAATCTTTACATACGAATAGAAATACAATACGTGTCGAACGATTACAGCGACACGGTCAAAAATAACACGACAGGACAATTACGTGTTTCGCTTTCTCGTTTGTTTGTTCCATTTGAAAACATATGGAAAATTAAAGATTTTAGTAAAAGTATAAAAAAACTTAAATTGAATTGGTAATATAATGCCAGTTTCTTTAATAATTTCAAATAATTTTTAAAATTTTGGTTTCAAATCAATGAAAATCTCTCATTTGTTTTGATGTGTCAGCTGGTTTCGATAACATTTCGAAAAGAATTAGAATGGCATCGATTAGGTCGTAATTCGCATGGAAATTGAAAACGAAATACCTTCTTTTACTGTAATTCCCTCACGAAAATTTTTATGGCGAATTAAATAATTTGGCATGAATTTGGTGTGCGAATTACGATTGAAAGAGCCAGACGCGTAATTGTGATGTCGTGATAATGCCGTATTAATCCCTCATCCATTAACTTTGGTTCTCGATCAAGTTTTGTTGGTTTAACAGGCAACAGCCCACAAATGGCTTAAATTTTTTCAAACAATTTTAGATTGAGTGTTCAATGCACAATTTAAGAGTCAATTTTTTTGCATAAATAATAATACTGTTGCGAAAATGCGAGGCGAATGTAAGATGAAGAGAAGCCGATAACTAGTACATTCTAGAAACGATAAAACAAGAACCTTCCATAGCGAACAATTCGATGCTTCTACGCTTTCGTCTGCGAGCAGCTGACTGCTATATAAGGGGACACTCAGCTGCCAAGTTAAGTTAGTTAAAAAGTGAACTCGTTGGCGTTAACATCAGTAAAGTCGTAAAGTAAACGCGTTGAAGATTACATTTAAGTAAAGTAAATTGTGAGAGTTGATGCTAATGATTGTAAATAGTAAAGTGCATTATAATTGAATTGTTAATTATTGAGGAAATAAAGGACATTAGATTAATTCTTTATAACGAAAGAAACTGCAAATTAAGTTGGTGAGTTTTTATTTAACAATCCAGAGATCGTACCCGAAGGATTCAGCAAAAAATCGAGGTTGATTTAGCAAAATCGTAACAATTGGTGTCAGAAGTGGGATTGTTAAATAAATCCCAAAGGATAATATTTGAAAAATGGTAAAGATTCACGATTTGACGATACCTCCTCTCAAGAGGGAGTTGGCAAAGCGAGGATTGTCGACAACTGGAAATAAGGCAGAACTGCAATCGAGACTACGTGAAGCAATGGAAGTTGAAGGCATCGACTTGAACCAGTAGGAGTTCCAGCGCGAGGATAAAGATGTATCCTTGAAGGACTTTGACAAGGAAGAGGCTGATAATTCTGTGAGGGAGTTGGAATCACCATCAAGTAAGATTCAAGAAAAGGCTCCTGGGTCACCTAAGGGTATTGACATGAACATTCTATTGACTGCGATTTCACAAAAGTTGGATGCACAGGAAGCCAGCATTTCACAAATGCACAGGACAAAAAAATGAACGCCAGCATCGCACAGAGTATGTCTGAAATGAAAGTCAGCATTACATCACAAATGGTTGAACAGAGGGAGCAGATGTCATCCTTGGAAGGAACAATAGCGCAAATACAGCAAAATATGGTGAGGAACAGCGCGGAGTTTAAGGAAAGGCAAGATCTAATTGAGACCGAAGTCAACGCATTGAAAAGTCGTTTCCGGGAATTGCAGCTAAATCGTCCAACCGCTTCAGTGAACGCTCCGAAGGTAAAAACACCATCTTTTGACGGGAAAAT